GGGGTGGCCCCCGTCGTTGTTGAATCGAGCGTAATCAAATTCGGTATACGGGGGGGGGGGTGGGGGGGTGTACTCATAGTCGTGCATGCCGTAGTCGTTTGACCATTGACCTCGCATCCCTACAAAGCCGGGACGGAGCACGCCGGGTTCTCACCGGACCAGGCTCTCACATCACCAAGCGCGAAGCGCCGTGAGGTATTCGGCGAGTCGCATGAAGGGTGAGCTGCATCCTGCTAAGGGTGTTCGGCATCTTGTGCTTACTTCCTTGCGTACGGATGACAGCTACGTATCACTTAATTATTTTCTGGTGCTTTCACTTCCAGAGACAGTTGTAAGCACTGTGTAACTGCCTCGAGTGTGCTTGACCATTTTAACACAACGTGGTGCGATCATCCCCCGTTGCGCGGAGTGAGGTTTCTCGACCCCGCACAACATGATCTACTCGACCACCATTATGGTTACCGCCAAAAAAAAAACCGAGGTAAAAAAAAAAAAACGGTAACCTGGTTGCCGAGTTCACGAAGTGAATTGGCTTGTTTTACAACGTCGTTGCCAAGCGACGAAAACCCAATCCCGATGGCAAACACCGAGTGGGGGGCTGGGGGGGGGGGGGGGGGGGCATCTCTCCGCCTCTAACGGCAATCGCTAGAGTGTGGCGGAACTCGGTCACCCACATGCATACCAACTCCGACGTCTCTATGTCCGACAAGTGCAGGCCGCTCACTGCTCTCGGCGTGCGCTGTACTACACTCAACTCAATCGCGCGAAGAATAAATCAATGCGACTGTTTTCTGCCATGTTATGCATAGCAGCTGAGGGGGTCTTCGTTAATCACGACACCACAAGCCCGTACACGTGTATGACACTCACACCCACCCACGCCAAGAATAAATCAATGCGACTGTTTTCTGCCATGTTAGCAACTGAGGGGGTCTTCACTCATGACGACTCTGACGGCAATCACTCACATTGAGTCGGACTCGGCCACCCACATCCATACCAACACCGACGTCTCTGTGCGTCCGACAATTGCAAACTGCTCACGCGAAGAATAAGTTCGACTGTTTTTTGCCATGTTAGCAACTGAGGGGGTCTTCACTCATGACGACTCGACAAGTGCCTACACGCACTGGAAACCTGAAAGGCAACATGTCGTCCACAGCGAAGACTAAGACTTCATCCCATTCCCTTCCTCTATCAGCATGGTTTTCATCTCGAACGGTTGTCGTAGTGGTTCTTTGCACAAAAAAAAAAAAAAACAGTGGCATCCTGTACCTGGGAGGCTTGGGGAGCTTCTCCTCCTCCACCTTGGCGTCCTTCTTGCCAGCCGAAGCCGAGAGGTCGATCTCCTGGCCGGGGTTGAAGTTGGAGCTCTGGCGACGCAGCAAGGCGTCGCTGCCGCTCGCCTCCCTCGTCACCTTCGCGCCTGTTTAGAGGTATAGGTTTGTTGTTGGCTGGCACGGCGGCATTCGATCATGAACACTACTAGCACCCGCAAGTGCAGGAAACCGCAGTTCGGGGAGATGTACTATTTAAGCTAAGAATGTACTTGTAGAAGTAGATATTGTAGCGGTTTTGGCGTCCGCTAAATTCAACCGGTGTTGAAATATTGTCTTGTGAACTTCTCAAAGTACAAGGCATGAACTTGAAGGTGTTACGGCGGCAAGTGAGAGACGAAACCGACCGTTTCGGACAAGCGCGGTCCTTCCCGCACCCGGCGAGGCGTGTCGGTCTGTCTATCCCCGAGAAAAGGACGAAAACGAGGGTGAGAGTTTTGCACGTCAAAAACATTTTTCCTAACATAAAAAAGAAGAATGCAAGTGGTAGATGCTTCTCACCTGAGAAGCTCTTCTGCCGGGCCAAGCGAGCTTGCTTGTCTGCTTCGATCTCCTCCTCAGTCTTGCCGCCCTGATGAGTAGGGATTTACAGCGGCACAACACCATCCAAACAAGCAAGGCGAGCCGGAAAAGTACATATGATGAGCATCACAAAGGAGAACTGTCATCCTTGATGCCGGCATCGGTTGCCCATTTCCTTCCCGCAGCACACAGCCTTCCCGCAGAATACAGCAACAACAAGGGCTTGTGGTCATCATTGACCAGAGCGACCAACAACGAAGCTGCCACCTTGTCGCGGGCACGCCTGTGATATTGATTGACCAGATGGTTTGCTGGTTGACGGCCACACGAGGCTTGGAAGAGCCACACTCCGCACATGCTATCAAGGAGCACGGGTAACCCAAGTGCACTATTTAGCGTTTTCCATGCAACGTTTGACACGCGCAAAAGCATAGACCGCTGGTGGAGGCTCAATACCTCACTGTTCCACCCCGCGGGACTGCATGTACGAGGGCAAAACCCCGCCGATCGAGAGAGCTCTGAGTACCCCCCCTCCTCCTCTAGTGCCATTTCCGTGCCCCCTT